TCCGATTAAAACAATGAAGCCTTTGGGTATAAATTATTTCATATTTTTTATTATTTAGACACTATGCTGTTCTCTATCACAGAGAAATCATCTCTGTTACTAAAAGTTCTTCTGGTACTAATCAGAACAAGCAGAAGCAAATTAATAAATGATGACATGGGAATTACAACAAAATAGATTGATGACTTGCGGGTATGATTCTGAATAATAACATTTTACAAGCTATTCAAGAGCATTGCTAGTAGGCGAGATTTAGTTTACAGTATTTTCGGAAACATTTATAAAATGCTTCAAAAATGAATTGTTACTTTTATGAGTCATACTTGTTATTTCACGAATTCATTGTTGTAGTTCCTTTTACATATGTTCTCAGGTTGCACTCCTCACCGTAACAACTGCTCCGTTCACAAGCTACATGACTATAATGTACATTTCTGAAAACCAGAGTTTGGTGCAACATCTGCCTTCTTTCAATCTCTTTTTCTATTACTAATACAGCCTAAAATAGATATGGAAAATAACAACAAAAAGGGTTCCCAAATTCCTCCATCAGACTGAACTCAACAACATTTACATGTTAAATCCAGTTGTATTTCTTAGCATCTACATCAAAAGACTGGGACTACCTTTGAAAGCACACCAACTCCTGTCCGGACTGAACTTTCAGCTGCTGACCCTGTGCCAAGTCCTGCTGTCTAATGTTAGCTGCAGTTTTCTGCGTGCTACTACAAGACTGAATTCCCTACATCTTACCATACTCAAAGCGCTTGTACCTATCACAAGGACATAAGAAGCAGAGCACACAAAAGATGATTTTGGTCACTGTCTTCAAAAAAATGAAACACAATACATTTTGGCTACTGCCCAAATGCATTTTAAAATGCAGAAAGTTTGGCCGTGTTCATGGGTTTGTATCTACTGAGCAGCAATGTTTAAAGGAGAGCAAGTGAACCGGAAAGTATCCAGAGAGTTATTTTCAGCTGGTCAATGCACAGTAATGTTTGTCGGTTCTAATCAAGGCTGCCCAAATGCAAATGTCAAATACTTGCACCTATCTGATCAACAATACATTACGAACAGGAGATTATTGAATTCCTTGTTGAACAACCTAAAACAACAACTCTCAGAAAAATCACAAATAATTCCTGGGTTGTCTGTGAATATTACAAAAAGTTTTCAGATAAATTCTTTGATCTGAATTATAGATCCATGTACCCCACGATACAGTTACATAATCCAATCTTTAGTATCATCATCCAAATTCCTGTACTATTCTTTTGGCTTCAGAGATTTCCCAAAACTTCACGAACTAAATAAAAACCACTTTGCTGAAAAATTTTGTTTGGAAGAAGCACACAATATAGGTCTTTTCCCACTTTATGCATACTTAATTGCATTTCTACACATTATTTAATTTCATTTGCTTTATTACACTACTATCTCCTGATGCTACAGAAGGGGGATGCGGAGGGATATGGACCAGGCCCTAAGAGTTTCTTGCAAGCATCATATGCATTTCAGTAACTTATTAACAGAGATTAGGGACAGTGCTAGGTGGGAGCAGACAGACACCTAACGATGACAAAGTAATGAGTTGATTACAGTCTCCTCATTCCTCCTCATCTATGCCAACTCCTGCAAATCACAAATTACCAACTCCAGTGACTCCATGAAAAAAAATGCTGTACATAGTATGTGCCCTATGGAGGCCCCTTCATTATGGATCCCCTACATTAACCTATTTAAGAAACAAAAACTCTCTTCTGTACCTCTAGACCGAGTGGACACAAGACTGAAATTCATACAAGCACTTACAGAGATATTGCTTTGGCATGGAAGCCTTCAGAGAAACCCTGCACACCAGAGTTAGACCCATGTGTGACTGCCTCCTGAGATGTTCAAGATCCAGCTCAGGCCAGCGGCAGTTCGTTACCTGGGTCAGCACCACAAAATCTTCTCACTGGAAAGGATGGGTTTTTAAAAAGGAAAGAAAGGACTCTACAAGAGGCTCCAATGGCGAGGTTTCACTTGAAGAAAGAAGTTAGCTAGCCACTGCTCCCTGCTCACCTCCCAAACAGCTTCCTCCCAACCCTCTCTCATGGCATGGGCTGGCACCGCGAGTGTGCAAGAGATGTGGCATGGGAGAAAGACATTGGGGTGACCAGAAGTGGGACAGAGAAGGGCTAACGCCTTGTTAACTTCACCCACTGTCTATCAACATATATCAGAGACAAAGATGCACCTCTGAGCTCTGCTTTACTGGAGCGAAGTTTAGGCCAACAGGATCCCACAGGCTCTGCCGGCAGCAGCAAAGTCCTCTGCCATAGGAGAGAGGACTGAAAAACATGGCCAGTTCCCTTCCACAGCAGTCAATGCAATTAAAGCTCATTTCTGGCAGGGGAAAAAAAAAAAAACAGTTTCCTCGTGCAAAAGGCCTCAGGTCTCTGAGCCATGAAGAGCAACAGCCCAGAGTTACACAGCAGAGCATGGGCTAGAGGGGGACATGGGTTCAGTCAAACTGCGGATGGAGGGAGAGGAGAAGATGGGCAAGGGCAAGAAGCCGTGATGCCAAGTTCTTCTTCAGTATGGCTGATACAAACGGGACTGCCAGCTCAGCTACTTCTAACTCCTGAAGTGAACCAACACACTGCAGCAAGAGGAGGCGAGCATCATGCCAAAAAGTCTGGCATTAGTATGAAAATAAAGACGTCTTGCAGGCAGGGATACACAGAAGACCCAAAGTACCCTAATCAACATACTCCAGGCCCAAACGGACTGTTGTTAAGACGATGATACATTGGATTTTGTCATTTAACAGGGTCCAAAAAATGTATTTTATTATCCCTTTAGGCATTCAGTGGGAATACCGAGCAACAATGCCAGGCACGGATGACAGAATGACTGGATAAAAGACTGGATTTTAGGGCATAGAGCTGAATTCTATGGAAGATGCCGAAGTAAATGAAAATACCAGCACACGATACAGCTACCTACAGTTACTTGCACAGAATTCTGAACTGTATAATGCTATGTATTAGCACAGGCTTTATGCTATTTTATCTGTAAATGATATGTCTCACAATTTCACACGACTCCCTACTGGCTTCCCACCACCAGCTGACCAACTATTCCAGGCAAAATACTTTATGCAACTCTGCCGCTTACTCCAGCTTTTATCCAAGAAAATACACCGCTTACTGCAAAGGAAAGCTAGTTAAGAGAACATTACAGAAGGAAAAAAGGTTATAAACAGAGCAACTAATATTACTGGATTGACAGAAGAAGAAACAAATTGGCTCTTTTTTTCTTTTTCAACTTTGTGTTTAAGGACTCCACCAGTCCTATCCTACTGCACCTACAGATAAGGTTAAAACTAGTATTAACCAGTGCTTCTCATCTGTCCAGTGATCTGGCTATTTCCTTGTGAAACCTTCTCCATTAGAACTGGACAACGATCATGTCCAGTCACAATGTTTGCCTCAGGGTGGCGGGGCAAGAAGAATGTCCCAATGTTGCGGGGGGGGTGGGAGGTGTAACCAGAACATGCACAGAGTAATTGAAGTGGAAAAGGGCACTGAAAGACTTCCAATATCTCGTTGAACAATTAAGTGAAGAAGAGACACTTCAAAGGCACGGCATCTTAAAGATCATAGCCACAGAGAACAGTTTGATCAGAGATCAATGAGCATCTGCCATGTTATATGCTTTCCTTCGGAGTCGCAAGTTGGAGCATAAAAATGGATGTTGGCATGGTTTTAACAGTGTGAAGTACATGGTGCTCCTTAGCAATACAAGACTCCATCGGCACATATCGCTGTGGGACCAGACCTACAGTTATGATCACACATCAGAAGAGACCACTCAGACCAAATTCAGAGACAGCTCTCTGCTCCCCGGTATATTCTAGCTATCTTGTTTTGTAACAGCTGAAGATTTTTTTTTTGCCTCATTTTCACAAACTTACACAAAAATCACATATATTTTAACGCATTTCAGGAGGATCTGTGCTCTTTAGAAAAAGCAGCCATCATTTTCTTCTGTCGCATTCTAATGCCTTGTAAATGACACACTATTTTTAGCCACTCACCAATTAACCCCTCTTGTTATCGACTTGAAATTGTTTCCATGAGCAGTCTGAGCACCATGTAAAAGAAGAATTCTCCATTTCAGATCCAGTATCAGGCTCTAAAGTTCCACAACTTTGCCGCTTCTGAGATGATAGCAGAGTCTCACTATGACTAAGGACTGCAAAATCATGCTCCACGTAATTGAATCTAAAGATCTGACAACACTGACCTTATCAAGAAATGAAACTTTTGGCTGAGGTTCAAACCATGCACAAGAAATAAGCTCTTGCTGGTTGTTTGTAAACGTCATATAAAAATGTACTTATTCATTATTAACAACTCGTAAACTGAACAAACTGCAGGTCTCAAATTGCTGCCAAGTAAAGTATTACTTAGTACGATCGTTGCATTTATATCTAATTCTTGTATTAATTTTGGCAGCACAACCGAGCATCCCTTCTCATGATTGTAAGAGGGTTATCATAATGAGATAAACGTTCAGACTGCATGCTAAAAGCGAGGACAGAAGAAATGCTAGGGGCCAGATTAATTTTGTAAATGCCCATAGTGCTGCTGACCCCAGTGACAGCCCTACTTCAGTACAAGATGTGCAAAAAAAAAAAAGGGTTCTAGGGAGAACCAGGCCACTGCTATCCCACTGTTGCCATGACAAGGCCAGCAGTAACAATACATGACCTCTACTGGTGAGCCATCTCCTTTAGGATAAAATAGAACAGAAGGCTCCAAGCAAAACCCCAGGCAATATCAGCACTAGGCCTTCACGAATCTCGCAGTCAACTCAGGAGTCTAAAAGTTTCATACAAATTCAGTAAGGAGCTACTGTAAATAGCCACAATTGCTCTGCAGCAGAATGCCGGTTTAGAAGGAGGCACAAAAAAGCCACGGGGCCTTTAAGACGATACCATTACGCACCTTTCTTGTTCTTGCATACAGCTTTCAGCATGCGGTTTCCAGCTCCACATTTTCCATGGTCAGTCACACATATTCCTTCTGAAACGATCCACTCGTAACACACCGGGTCTTCACAAAGAATAGATTCAATTAAATGTGGACAACCTGCCAGGGCGCCTACCGGATCCACAATCACTTGTCTTTGTCTCATTCTAAAGCCTGGAAAAAGAAAAGCAGAGTTAACAGGACAACAGCAAAAAAAAAATATTTATACCAATAATCTAGTAGCAAGAGGACTATGTAGGGCATCTGGAACTGGGGGATATAAAGACAAACAAGAGGACAACACTCACACAAACTGAATTGACTGGGACAGCACTTGGCTGTAACGTGCCCACAGTCTGGACATGCAAAACCCACATTCTTTCCAACAACCCACATTCTTCACATTTCTTTTTCCCTTTCATCAGCATTAGACAGAAATACACATGTCCAAATACAGGAATTTGCCACTGATGCATGTATTAGTGTAATAACAACATTAAGATAAAAAGAGAGAAACAGTTAAGGAATTGAAGATATAAAGGACATCTATATTCTGCCCGGGAATCCACTAATGAAAAGACTTGTTTTGCAATACAGCAGAGCAGTTTACTAAGAAATTAGTATTCTGCTTTATGAAGGTGTAAGGATTTCTGATACATAATGCATATCAGACCACTTTGAAATGACATCCTATTAAATTGGAAGATTCAAATGTAAAGTGGAAGAAAAAGGTTACAGAAATAATGAAAGAATTGATTACATAATCTACCTCCTTCTGAATAAAACCAAAAGTCATGTTGCTATATAAAATGCAGAACTAATACGCAAGTATCTTTCAGCATGTTTTGTTATGTAAATGACACAGAATTCTAAGAAAGGCAGAAAAAAAAATACACACTGGTCTTGCATACAACAGTCTCAGGTGACGGGCAAATATATAACATTAGCATTAGTGGAGGCCACATGGAAATGCCTGGGCCAAGAAACAGAAAAGAAAATGAAAAATAAAACACTCCAGAGAATGTAACAGACCAAACTTCCACACTTCTCAAACCAGCAAAAGAAGTCATTTAAAACAACTTAAAAATGAAACAGTTTTGCAAATCTGTACATTGAACCATATATTTTTTATTATTTCTATTTTCATTTGAAAAATTCTGACCAGACACTTCAAAAAATTATGCTGTTTTCAGAAAAGTGTAATTTCCAAACAGTAATATTCATCCCCTGACACGAACTCCAACAGTCATCTTTTCAACTGAAGAGCCTTAGGAAAGGCTCTGCAAGGAATCTCAAAGCGTTGCAGCAACAAACATGTACACTAATCAATTAAGGTGCAGGGGGGTTAAATGACATTTGCATACTCTTAAATTCCAGGAATTTAAACCAAACCCAGAACAATGAGAACAATCTCTCAGGTCAGCCAAACTCCAAGATGGCAGGGCTGTGGGATACACCTCAGTCCTGACGCCTTCCAACCTCACCCAAGCACTGCGCTCGAGTCCAGGCATGCAGCAGGACTTCCCGAGGGGACCAGAGAGGGACAGCCTGGCACTACGGAGGTCTCCAGCTGCTATCCCAAGAAATCCTCCTTTTCTACAAGTTCAGTGCAAGATAAAAAGATCTGAATCTAAAAAGGCTGAGAGTCTTTTTTTTTTCTTTTTCTCCTGAGAATAACTGCAAAAAGCTTTTAAAGGTCATATTCCACTCCTGTACGCACATTTAAGAGCTTCATCCTATGTTAGATTAATTTAAAAATAAAAAAAAAAAATACATTAAGCTCCCGATGTAGAATTTGACACCACTGCTTTTGCAATCTTATCATAATATTCCATTACTCGCTTTAGATCCCCCAGTGCTGCAAGCGATGTATAAGAGCAGCCATTACCTCTTCTTCCTTGGCGGTCCTGGCAGTTCTCATGAAGGCAGGGGCCCCACGCCGCCCAGGCAGATACCACGCACTCCGACGGGCACGGAAGGTTACACAGCTGGGAGGCGGAGGGAGCAGGACCCAGGCACAGCTTCCCATCAACTGGTCTAGTAACTAAGAGGGGGAAAGAAAAAAAGAAAGGAAAAAAGAAAAGTAGGGCTGTAACTTTGCCCTGACAACACAGAGCTCCAATGTTTACTGCTGGCCTTAGATTTCCAAAATCACCAAAACCCAGTATTTTTTTTAGGGTCTTATCTCCTGGAGCAAAAAGTGAATCAATCCATGAAGTTTTATCTAAGTCATCCATATTCAGCAGGCCAATTAAGACTGTGCTTAATGGCAAACAGGTGCTTTAATAATAAATTCAGTGCTGATTTTTCTACAATGCTGGAGCAACAAACTGGAATATAATCACCTGCATTTATGGCCAAGGAGACCCCTTTACACTGCACTGAAGAGAAAGATGTGTCAGAAGGAAATCCAAGAAGCTCATACTGCAACTGGGAGCCCAGCGTAGGCAGGTGAGAAAAGCCCAAGAGCCTGAGCACAGGGGCATGTCCCCATACCCATCCCCTTCAGGGCAGCTGCCACCTCTAGATTACAGCTGCAGGATCCAGACCTTTGAATTTTCTTCATCTACTTTCAAGAAAACTGAGCAGAGCTCTCTCTTTCTTCTCCACAGCCATATGCAGAAGCCGTCTGTCCTGCCTGGGAGGCGAGATGTCTACTTGAATTGCCTGCACCCAAGGCAGGCATGGATCTCCAAACCTCTTCATCTATGCGACGAGCCAACCCCAGACTCTGCCGAAGGACCAGTTTTGTTGATACTGACAATAAATTTGGAAAGCTGATTCCCTTTGTATTTTCATTTATCATAAGCGACTTCTAGTTTCAATTAACTTCTCTTGCCTTTATTCTCAGGGCAGAGGGAGGAAGGAAAAGAAGGGGAAAGCCTCTTAAATCTATCTTCTGAGTCATTATCTGATATTGCATTTTAATTACATTATGGGCTGAATTTGGCTGTCTTTAGATAAATCAATATCAAAGCAGTCTTTCAAAAGGCAAAGGCTCGTTTGAGTTTACTCTGCCATGGTATTACCAAGACTTCATTAATTTTTATAGCTACTGAATTTGCTTTATCCTCATTTTTATTTTTAATGTCAGTTTTCTTTGCTTCCGTGCATGAAATTGACGTGGAAAGAATTTATAAAAATATGCCCAATATATGAGTAATCTTTCCTTTTTCTGATATTTTACCATTTTCTTTAAAATGAATCTTTTGAACAAAAACACAGGGGTTTTTTTTTAAACACAAGACTTCAGTGCTCAATACCCCAATACATTTTGATTTGCACATCCTGAAGCTGAGACTTAAGACCAGTATCAGTGCTTATGATTCCAGCTCATCAGAATAACAGGATTAAACAAGAGATGTGACTTTATTCTAAGCTGAAAGATATGTTAGCAAAAAAGACCATTTTCTGAACAATTTCTAAGACACAGTAAGGCCTTTGAAATGTTCATTTAGAGATTACAACAAGGTGGCATAAATCCAATTCACCTGAACGCTAACGTAAACAGAACTTTTCTAGAGACCTTGCAAGTGAAGTGACAAGACGTTAGAGTTTTAAGGATAAGAGTATTCATTTTACCAAGAAGTCTCATGCATGGCTTAACCTGCCTTTCAGCATCAAGCATTGCAGAACTGTATCATTCCTGGAGAGTTCACTTGAAGAAATGAAAGGAAATAAATTTGAGTGCTTATGGTCAGCCCAAGGAATAAAGTCCAGTCCTACTCCGCTCTAACTCAAGGTGTCTTCGTTAGCAACGGCTCTTCCCCCCTCACTGATTTTTAGATTGTTTCTATATCGCAATTTAGCTATGTAAATGTGGAAGTCACTAGATAAAGTGGGTTGGTTCTCCTGCCTTGAAAACTAACCAGCTACAACCAGTGCTCCCGAGGGTATTTTAAATGGAGTTTGGATAAAAGAAAAACAAGAAAAATTGATGACAAAAAGTTACATGGGCGGGTTTTTGTTGGTAGGCTGAGCCTATCAGCCATCCCAGACTCATGGAAGACTCCTTCCTATTTTGGAGGAAAACCCTGCCTTCCTCTTCCTGCCAACCACTTCCCTGCTCCTCTTCCTCCCTTGGGCTGATGCCCTATTTAATTCTAGCACTGGGAACTCTTTTCCCAGGACCAGCATCCTACTTGACACTAGAATAAGGCTGTTTGTTTACCCACTTCCTTAAGTAATTCTATATATTCTGTAAAATGTAAATCAGAAAATACACAGACAATTCTAATCAAATATCCAAATATATTCTAGGTCTGTGCCAGTTTATGCTCACTCTACACTGACTACAATCCTCCAGTGAAAGGCTGCAGGAATAAGACAAGAACAAAAAGGAAAAAACTGCATTAATAAAGGCATATACAATAGCATCCTTTTCCAAAACTAGGCAGGTATAAAGAGCCACATTTTCCAGCACGATAGCCAGAGTGCCTGGATGGACCAGAGGGGTCCTCTGTAAAAGAGTTTCATCCCTTCTTCAGCCATTTCATTGACAACTCTGATTTCCATCAGTTGATTTCCATCAGTTTTATTTAAAAGCTTGATGTGATTTTCTATTGCTATTCTTTCATATTCTAATAAATACCTTTTTTTTTTTTTTAATGAAGTATAAGGTGGGGTTTTTTTTTCTGTGAATCTTCTAAATGCCAAAATTCTCACACACACCAGTCTCCAAAAAGGTGCAGATAGCCTGGCTGGGGATGCCCTGTTCAGGAAAATAAACTCACATTATGCCTATGATAAATGAACACAGCTGCTAGGACTGCCTTCACACACCTCTGATTTTGCTCAATAATTGACTTTGTAATGATATTTTACTACATTCATATGGTAAAAGTTCTTTTTGTGTAATTATTTCCCTTGGAAAAATTAGCCACCTTTTGGGGGGAAGGGGAAAGGCGGAAGCCAGGGAAGAGGAGTGAGAGGGGGAGGCATTATCTCTGATTCAAGTCACAGCTTATTTATTACGCTTGTTCATACCTTTTAAAACCCTGTGTTCTTCCCAATCTATAGACTAAACTTGAAAAAGCAATCAAGTACTAATCTGGGAGCCTCTGAAACATTGCACATTTCTATAGCTGTTATATTGGATCTATCCTTTATAAATGCGACTACAGCTGTTCCCAGCACCAGTGTCTGCCTGAAGTTTGAATTTTACTATTTGCTGTTATTTTCAGGTTATTGCTACCAGCAGGAGATAATAAATTGGGTTCTAAAGTATCTTGTTTCCCTATATATTTTTACTGAGGTAGTGATTTGGAGGAAGAGTGGAAGAGGAAATAAGCCCTGATATGATTATTTCCATAATGTAATTTTAAGCCAATAAATAATCTGTGAATATAGTCATATGGACACATACTTGCAGGCATACATACCAACACTGTCTTAAAAACCATTCACGGCCAAAGAGAGAAACACATATGACAGCATTTTGGTTGCAGTGATTCATAGAATCATAGAATCATTTGGTTGGAAAAGACCTTTAAGATCATCAAGCCCAACTTTTAACCTAACCCTGCCATCCCACCACTAAACCATGTCCCTAAGCACCTCATCTGCCCAGCTTTTAAATACCTCCAGGGATGGGGACTCGACCACTTCCCCGGGCAGCCCGTTCCAGTGCCTGATAACCCTTTCACTGAAGAAATTTTTCCTAGTATCTAACCTAATTCCTTTCAAATTTAGGTTTTCAACTCCTCAGGAAGTAAATAACACTTTTTTTTTCCAGGACCTAACTTCATTTCCCTTTTACCATGAAAAAACAAGTATCTCCGATATTAACACCTAAATGAGGCATTTCTAAATATCACCAATATATCTCGAATACAAGTAAAGAATATCAGGACTCTCTCTTATATACTGGTGCAGCCGTATTTTAGCTAATATTCAATTCTCCAGATAGTAAGTCCAGATGTTTACCATACCTTTCAGCAAAACTAAGTCAAATTAATGATTGCCAGGGCACAAGAAAGGGATGGCACATCTTTGTAAAACTTCTTATTGCCTTTGCCAGCACTTATAAACCAAAGACACTTGGATCAACACGATGGGAAATTACTTGAGAAAATCACAAAGGAATGGGTCATGTTATAAACACACCTACATGTGTAAAACATAATAGGGATAAACCAGTGCAACATTTGTAAGTAATTTCTCTAACCTGAAAGACTGGCTTTTAGAGCAAAACCAAAAGATTAGACAAAGGAGAAGTGGCAAATGGAATTTAACTAGCCTGGAAACATCACCAACCTGACTCCATGGCATCCCTCCGCTGAAAAGCCTAACGCACCCCATGCCTGATGGAAAGGGTGCCTTTATGCTTTTAAGAAGAATCAATTGGTTTTGAAGCCACAAGGCACAAAGTTGAAGTCCTGTTTTCAATTAAAATCTATTTAATAGACAAGAAACAAAGTATGAATAGAAGGCTAATCACAGCATGAAAGAGGGTTAATAGCGGATTGCCAAGAGCAACAACGGTTTAATGTATTTCAGAACAATAAAGATCCTCGCAATTTTATTAAAGTGACACAGACTATTAGCACTCCATGGAATAAAAAGTTTCCCTGGGTCCATATCCTCTGCTGTACAATGGGATCCCAATCCCAACTGGGATATCGTGTTGTTTCACTACAGCAGAATTTGTACAGATTATCAACAGAAACCGCAGATCTGGCAAAAATTCAGAGTGAGCACAGGGCTTCCTACCAGCAGTCACATGACTGAGCAGACCAGAGGTGACCAAGTCATTAACCGTGCCTAGGAAAAACAGTGGAGGCAACAGGGATGCTGGGATGCCAGTGAAGGAAACGACAGGAAGGAAAAGAGGTTCTCCAGGATATTTGAGCCTTGTTGGCTGTTATCTGGAAAAGGCCACCAGCTGCTGGAAATCACTGGGACAGACCACCAGAGAAGGTGGGAGATGCCACAAGGAAAACAGGGAAGAAAACCCAAAGGTGGGTATATACTTCATGAAAGCCTCATGAGAGCGTGAACTTCGCCCATCGCTAAGTTTAGCGTTCATTCCACAGAAAGGAGCAC